AGGTGTCGTTCTTGAACCCTGCTCAACTCATCAGTGCTAGACTCTGTCCTTAGGGTAGACATATGTGACTGCACTATGGTCATTCTCATGAGTGATCTTTCTGGAAATTTCAGGTGAGATTGATAATAGTTTCTGCTCTTTGAACTGTCAGCAAGGCAATTTCTGCAAGGGTATCAGATTTTTTTTTAGTGATTTTGGCGCTGTCGCAATTTTTAGCAAAGCAGACTGCCCTGCCTCCACAAGAAGTCCCACTTCCCTATCTTGGTGCTGGTGACAGTACCCATCATTTTCCCATCGTGTTTCTGTTCCATGCGCAGAGTTTGTGCCATTGAGCAGTTTCATTGTTAACTCTTTAGCTGTCCATCACACAGCCTCTAATCATACTGGTGGAGCTTTGCCAGACCCCTGCTAAATTTGTAATATTCCTCTTGAACTGGGGGGACCAAACCTGGATGCAGTATTCCAGATGTGGCCTAACAAGTAGCACTGTTTACAGTGTCATAATCACACCCCTTGATCTGCTGTCTATAAGCTTTCTGGTGCATCCCAGGACATGGTATGTCTTCATTGCTGACTTCTGTTCAGCTTGCTGTCCAGCAGAGCCCCCAGGCCCTTTTCAGCAGAGCTACACTACACTCCAGCCTATCTGCTGTTATGGCCTGCCTTGCTAACGTGGGGTTCCCTCAGGCAGCAGCCCAGGGAAGGCTTGTTAGAGCAGCTGTGGAGGCTGTGGCATGGTGGAGCAGAGGCAGCAGGATGGGGGCTATGCCCCAGGACCCCAGGCTGCACAGCATCCTCCACACAGTATAATACTGCTCTTTGCCCATGAGCAAGATGTTGAGCCTCTCCATGACAAATATACTTATTTGAGATTATTTGACATTGCATTGGATTTTGATCTAGCAGAGTGATGTAACTGTGTTTAAATCAATATATCCTGGCTGTCGCAGGTTGCTGGGAAGGGACATGTGGGTTGAAACCAGATCAAGCCCATTGATATCTTTGAAGTGCTTTCTGTTCTGTTATTCTTTGTACTGTAAGTTGGATTTGGTTGGGTCATGAACACACTCCCCAGACTGTTCTGGCTAACTTAGGAAGATATATATTTGCATTCTTTTCTTACTTACACAACCAGTTGATTCTTTCAACTGCCATTACTGGTTGATCTGCTCAACTGATGTCTGTGCCACCCTCCAGTTCCCTTTGTGTTAAGTTCAGAAACAACTGGGATGTATTCGTATTATAGGCTATCTGAAAGCTCGTTACCCAGCGATTTATTATCTCATGCAAGGCTTTTAAAACTTAGCAAATTGTATTCCCTTCCTCAACATGAAACAGCTCCAGATGATTTCTATTTTCATTTTCTCAACTTATATTTTTCTTTCAGTTTACAGGAATTGGAGTGATAAGAATATCACAATATTAACTGTTTTGTTTGTTCATATGTTAAAACTTGTTGGTCCTGCAATATGACTAACTGCAAAAATGTAGAATCAACTCAATCTCTTGCATAAAATAGCTGGCACTGAAGAATTGCACTTCCATAAATCAAAAGACACTAATCTCAGATTTATTTCTTCTGTTCTGCTTTAACCAAAAAAAAAAAGCAGATAAAGGTAACTGTAAATTAAAATGTATATTCATTCTTCCATTCTCTGTGTTAATATTCATGCTATTGGATGTACTTCTTTCATTATACTATATTTTGTCAGTATTCTATAGTCATTGTTTCATTAAAAATACCCCTGTGATAATAACTGTATAATAAATTATGATTCAAAATAAAATATCAGACATTTCATTCCTGAGAGAGAATAATAAAGCCATAATAAAAAGGAATAAAGTTTAGCAATATGATAATGTAGCATGAGGTTTTTATAGACTTCATGTAAATGTTAAAATCTATAAATTTTTTATATTGTGTAAAATTGTATAAAATAGCAATGAGGGGGGTGGGAAGAGGAAAGAAAGCAATGCTAGGCCACTGGTGAAATCCTGAAATTGCTTTTTTTTTTTTTTTTTTGGTAATCTGACAGTACATAAATTGTTTTTAGCTTATCTAAATTAATAATAAACAGTAAATATTATTTTCTATAGACAGTAAAGGTAAATTGAACACGGAACTCTGAAGGTTTCCACTTTCCAGCCCACAATATTAGGTGAAGATATGTGAAGCTTAATCACCTTTCCTCATGCCTTTCTTTGTCACACCCGTTATTTCTATTTCTGTATTCTTCTTTCCTTATTTGGTCCTTTTTTTTATGAACTTGAGTTCTAACTGAAGATGGAAATGTGTGCAAGAAGAAAAGGAGAGGTTGATGTGAATTCTGCCTTGCCATCGCTTTCTTCACATTACATCTTCCCTTTCACCAATCTGCTGTGGTGTGAATTTAAATCCATCATTTTCTTCTAGTCTAATTATTATTTATTTAATGATGTTAATGCTGTAGTTAGTACTTCTTCTGACTGCAGAGTGCATTAGGCATTTGCAATTTAATTTAAATAAAACTATTTAAAACTTAATTAAGTAAAGGAGAAAGGGGGCAATATAAACAAATTTAAGAGAATGCATTTCTAAAACATGTTCCATACAGCTACAAGCAATTATTAGCTTGAAAAAACCTGTCATCTTGGAAACACCCCTAATCACCTCTGCTTTCCCATGTTTTATCAACCAAGGGATATTAAAATAAAATGTATTTAATATCCCCTTCAGTATGGGGGCACTTCATGTCAGCTCGTGATGAAGCTGTTTCTCAGCCTTTCCCATGTTTTATCAACCAAGGGATTTATCCCCTTGGTTGGGATAGGTGGTTTATCACTGACAGAAAGTATCACCCAGTCTACTTGCATGATCAAGGTTCTGGTAGGATACCCAGAAGGGAGGAGAGGGGAAAAAAAAAACTATATATGCACAAAATAAGGAACTTACTGAGTGCTTGCACCTCTTAAAACAATGTGAATTTCTTTCTTCTGTAAACCTAAAACATTGTCTTCCATGTGGGTTTTTAAAATTCTCTGTAGTGAAAGGAAAATAAGGGACTGGATGAAGAACTTGTCTATATGAGACACTGCTTAATCTGAAAATATTTAAAGAAGACAACTGCAGCTTTAATCACAAACATTGCAGCTCAGTTGCTAAGCAGTGTCAGAACATAGTTCATTCTTCTCTTGCACAGCAGTTGTACTCAGTGGCTTAAGACAGAAAATGAAGATAAATATTGGAAGTAGCAAAAACTCCCAAGGCAGTTTATACAGCTGTATGTTATTCTTCATGCTGCAATCCATGGAGATTACTCGATGTAAACCATGAACAGTTGAAGAGGATCTGACTTGCACCTCCCTTGTCCCAGAGGCAACCTAGGACAGATTAATTAAAAGAAAACAATAATAATAAAAAGAGTCCTCTTCATATTTCCTGCCCTTAACAAGTATGTGGCTCTGGGGGATGCAGCACAGAGCTTCTGTAGCAGGAGAAAAATGAGATGGGAGAGCAGTGTGGGAGACGATCACGACTATATTGCAATTACAAGCGAGGTCATTCACTTTCTCTTCTACTGTAAGAATTAAGAGGCCTGAAATGAATCAAGTAGGCACTATGTCCAAAACAATCTGAAAAGAGGATTTCTTCATGCAGTGGGGCATTAAACTGTGGAACTCCTTGCAAATAGAAGTTGCGTAGGGAATAGTTCATAGAGAAAATGGAAAAATTCACAGAAGAATGAATCTATTTGAATGACACAAAGAAACCACATCAGGCTGGAGAAGTCCCTGAGGTAACTTCAGGGAAGGCAACACTGAGGTTCCTCCTCAAGGGCAGCGAGGCCAGGAGCCAAGCGCTACCCCGGCACGGCGAGGCCGTGACTCCGTGAACCGGGCCACATCTCCACAGCACCCAAGCTGGGCAGCTTGGTAACAGCGACAGCGTCTGTCAGCAATTCAGCAGCCATTAAGCAAGCGTGGTGTGGCAAGATAGGTCTGAAGTTAGTCAAGCCAGTGAGCTGAGAGCAGCAGAGCACAGCGTAAGTACAGCTACACAGGCCATATAGTTCAAAAATAGAAATAAGAGCCTGAGTTTAAATGGAGCTTCTGGGCCAGTGGGCAGAGGGTGATCGGGCAGAGGGTGCACATGAGGCTCATGAGGGCTATTAAGGCCTATTGGTGCACCCAGGCCATGGCAGCAACCTCCCCTCCCATGAAAGGGTATCCCTACCCTTCATAAAAGTCTGGGTTTGAAGGCTACTTATTGTGAAAAAGTCTAGTTTATTTAGCGCACATGCTTGGCTTCCCAGGAGTGTCCTGCAGATCCTTACCTCCAGCAGTTGATAGGGTAGTGAAGCTTTCCCTCAAATTAGTTTAAATTCCAAATTTTGCTGTGGTTGCTACTGCATCTTGATAGCAGAAGGAACAGGGGTTGGCAGTGGCCTGGGTAACAGGTCTTCCAGAGGGAAACATGAAAAATGAGGTGGATCCAGTAAGTAACTGCATTGACTTGACCAAAAATCATAGAATGCTTAAGGTTGGAAGGGACCTTTAGGGATCATCTAGTCCAACCCCCCTGCACATTCAGGGTCACCTAGAGCACGTGGCACCGGACTGCCTTGGAGATCTCCAGAGACTCTGGACTCCAGCATGGTGAAAGGCTCCAGGTAACAGTGGACCAGTGATGGTTGGGCTGTCTGGATATGCTCCCTGGAAGCCATTATTCAAGCCATTATTTAAGAAGAAATGGTTTTGGCCTTCTCCAACTGGATGATGCACACAGAACTTGCACAGGCACTGTACACAGAACTTGTACAATGGCAAATCAGCCTACCGCATGAACCTTCTAACAACAGCATCATGAACAGGCAAATAACAGCAAAATAAACAGCAGAAGCTTTTCTGCTTGTTGCTTTTTGTATCGAGCAGTATAACAAAGGAACTCACACGCTCCAAGTTCTTCATCAGGTTCTCACATTGAATACTGGTCCCCTATAAAGATCAAACATACAAAGCTAAAATTTAATACAGGAACGTAATTTTATTGTGTTAATCTGCATATGTATTGGTACAGCTGTTCTGTGAATGCTTCTGATGAAAATTTTTCCATAACTCTGTCTCTCCCAGCTGCTCCCATTGTGTCTTTTAAGAGAGGATCTCTCACAAATTTTTCCATGGCCTCAGAGAATTGTGTTGGCAAAGGATCACACAAAAATCCTGTAACATTATTCAAGATTGATTCTAAAGGACCCCCTGAATTAACTGCTATAACTGGACATCTCATATACATTGCCTCCACAGGAACAATGCCAAAGTGTTCATTACTTGGAGTGTAAAGCACACACAAAGCATTACTAAGAAGAGAGATTTTCTGCTCATCTGAGAACGATCTCAGGAATGTCACCTGGTCGATAATATTAAGCTTGGTCGCAATACTCCTCAGCTCTTCATAGTGCTCCACGTTTTCCAGAACTCTTTTGTCATAGCCACCTGCCATAACCAGGTGAACTTCATCCCACTCACGAGAATCCAGTCTCCCGCGAAGCACATGCAAAGCTTCTAGAGCCAATGCTAGATTCTTTTTTCTCTCATACCTATTAATGGAAAGGAACAGGAACTTTTTCTTTTTGGGTATCAGTTCGGCTATGTCTGCAGGAACTATTGTTTCAAAGCTTTTGGTGTTGAGCGATGGGTAGAGGACCTCTGGGTTTATTTGGGATAAGGACTTAAACGTCTCCTTGAACACGCTGGCAGTGAATTTGCTGTTGACCACGATGCAGTCGGCCATGCCGGTCGTGTACTCCTCCAGCCAGTCGAGGGGAATTCGGTAGAGGCGTTTTAGAAACGACTCCCTCTTCGTCAGAAGCTGATCAGGGAAGTGACAGTAGAACAGAACCTTCTTACGGCTTCTGGCCAGGCGAAGGATGGGAATGCAGGCGGACACCTAGTGCGAACAGGAGAGACAGGGCAAGAGGAGCCCTCAGCGGTGCCAGGGTGCACATGCCACCTCAGGGGCGCAGGCTGAGGGCCAGCCCTGCTCGAGCAGACGTGGGAACACGGCCATCTGCTCTCCCCGCCACTCTTCCTTCCTTCTTCTCCCTCCCTCAAGTTGAAGCTCCCCCGCTGCTTTCTCCAGGGCCTCGCGTGGAGGCTCCTCCATCCCTCCCTCCCTCGCCCCCTCAGCCCTCTCCCGCGCCGCGCGCAGGCCCCGCGCGCACCTGGTCGCACACGAAGGCGTCCACGGGGCCGCCGCGCAGCA